GAGGGCAAGCAGTCAATGCAGATGCGAAGCACGAAATCAGAGTGCCGACAGCATATGATACTTGTAGAGTCGACTTTAGTCTGCAAACACGTCTCGCGTGGAAGGGCCGGAGAGGGTCAAGGGCGCATGCAACGGTCGACCTTTTGTGCAAGGCCGCCACGCGGAATCTGTCAGAATGACTGAGTCGCTAAGTCTAAGTTTGTGAGAGCTCCTTGAAAGGGCTGCGCTGAGGTCGAGGATCTTTTGGTGGTGCGCTGCCAGGCCTGTGGCCACGTCGAGCGCTCAGCAAGCAAAAGCTTCGGGCTTCTAACTGAGAACAGAGAGCTGGGGGAAAAAATGGGGGCGAGGCTGAAAAAGCTGTCATGGTGTATCGCATGCCATGCGTGCCTACCGAACTTGAGTTGTCCGATCTGCTACCCAGAGCTCTTGTGTGCGCGACGTTCCTGCTACACCCTGTTACCTACGTCCCACTGGAAGCATGTAGGACTGGCAGGCTATTCTTGCTCGTCGGCCTTGTGCTTTGTTCGGTTTAGTTTAGTGTTGCTGAACCTCAGATCATCACGTGTTGTTTCCGCTCCAGCTCAACCTCAGTCTGCTAATTACAAGTAGTGGCCGCGAGACCGCTGTGCGAGGTCTACCCAGCCGAGGTAATCGGCAGCAATGTTCAGGCGGCCAAGCGCGCACGGAAGGCCGTAGCAGCTGACAAGATTGAGGTCTCCGGCGGGTAGGTCGAGATTTGAAAGTTTTGGGCAATTTCGGGCTTCTCATGAGTGCTGATGTTCATGGTATTTCGTCCGGTTCGCCGAAGTGGATTTTAGCAGCAGATCAGGCTTTGTGGGCCTAAAAAATGGCCCTGGCTGGCCCTTGGTCTCGGTTCGCGATCCACAGCTTTAGGTCGGTCATGGTCACTGTTTCGGATCTCTATCACAGTTCATATTGATGCCAAGGAAGATTGTCATGGTTCTGGTATCTTCTAAAGCTAGGACGAGGAGATTTCCTGTGAAGGGGCTTCGAAAAGGTGGCAGCATCCGCAGGTTGTGCTACAGTATTTCCCGGTACGAAAAAAGGAAGTGCTGTCCTGCTTGAGTGCTCTTGCAGCTTGCTTAAAACCGCCCGAAGTCTCTGTCTCGCAGGCGCTCAACTGTGGGCATTGGATCTTCAGGCGCCGGCCTAGCTGCGAAGAGAGCCCAGCGAAGCATCCCACGCGTCAGTTCCTGATCACGAACGAGTTTCTAAGCAGAAATGTGCACACCAACATATCCGTCGAAGCATGAGCAGAGGCATGCGCTCTTGCTGACTTAAGTAGTACGGTGCATGCATGTATTCCCTGCCACAACCACAACCACAGCAAAGCTTCGCGCCGGGGTTTTTCAATCAGCAGGATCGAGTTTCGCTTTAAGCTGGCCCTTCAGGAGGAGCCGCTTTTCCGCTGTTGTTTTGATTGCATCAGCTTGAACGTGTCATTCTTTGATCAGTCCTTTTTTATCACTTGGATATTCAGGGATTGCTTCTCCTTGATTTGAGGTCCTTTGCGATTCTGAGAGTTGGGACTCGGCGAGGTTATGGCCTTGAAGGCGCATGTGAACGTCTCATGACAGCGTGAGGACGACAGCCCTTTCTTCGAGGTCTTCGTGGCCGGCGAGGCCGTCTTACGTAGAAATGCATGGCCTGCACAACGAAGTTTCAGAAAACAGAGGCTTCAAATGAAGAACGACCCTTCAAAGTAGGACCGCTAGGATGACGTCTCTCAGAACCACTGAAAAGATGCCGCCTGGCCCATATCACCGACCAAGCTCACTCGCCCGAAGTTCAACTCAACTCTAGGGGCCCAACTTTAGGGCTGAACCGCCAGTTTGGAAGAGTTGAATTCGTGGGCTTTTGATGCTTCAGGCTTTAGCGTTTTGGCCCCTGTGGGAGGCCACAGATCTTTTTGGCGCACGTGCCGAAGAAGGTGGGTGTACCTGGTGTAGCTGCGGGCGTTCACTCGGGACCCGAGTCTTTAGCTTCGGTCCTTCGAAGCGAGAGCTTATCATTCGTCCCATTGTCTACTTGCTGTGCACACCGCCCCGTGCAGTGCTGTCGGATCCCGATGCTCGAGTGGAGCCGCAGAAGCTCCTGGATGCATTACGCCAGGCCACTTGCAGGGTGTTTTGAGGGCTTTCTTTGATAGCGATAAGACATTTGTTCCAGGAGGTTGGGGGATGGATTCGTAGCGTCGCAGTCAGGAAGTGACAAGGTGGCCAAAGGCCGCACCGTCAGCCGCTCGTCTTTGATTTCGTCCCAGTTTGTTAGCCTGCCGAACCAAGAAGCCATGTATTCGAACCCGTAGGCCAGTGTTGACTGCGACTCTGAACCACAAGCGGCCCGACTCCGTGAGAGGACTTCCGGAAGTCGCAAGCAGATGCTGGCATCGATCTCAGTCGCTCCCGGACGGAGCTCCATGAAGCAACGGCCTGGTGATCTTTCGCTCGAAATCCGGGGGTTTCAGTCCTGTGGACTCCGAAAAGCACCTTGCTGAAGTAGCCATGGCCATGGCTCCCAGCAGAACGAGCGGTCCAGCTCCGCCCTGAGGCCATTCCTTGGCCGTTTACAGACACGCTGAAGCCTCAGCCTTCCCAAGCAAACGCCTCGCCTCCGGTCGCAGCCATTGGATTGCTCTGCTGACCGTGGCCTGATGCTTGCACGCCTCTGTCAAGTGCCTGAACCATGTCTCACTTGCCGTCTAGAGAGTTTCACATCTGTACCTGATGCAATCCACAAGTCGCTGTAGTCTCACGTAGGAGCCTCATCCCAGGAACCCCGACTCCCGGTCCCGAAGCCCACCTAGGATGGACCTGCGACTGCAGTTTCTGGGGTGCCGCTTGGCTTGCCCAGAGACTGCGAGGGGTCGCTGCGAGCTGCTTTAGAAACCATCGCAGGCCTTTTTGATTTTTGGAGGCACAAGGAGCTCTCTGGCCAAGGTATGCAGTCTGCGACACCACCCTGACGCTGACCTGAGAGCGCGATCAGCAGCAATACAGACACACACCGTTACGGTAACCCTCAAGAGACGATGCCAAACCTAAAGACTACTTCATAAACTCTAAACCACCCTTGCAGCCTGCAAAACACGTTGAACACGACAGCCTCCGCCATGACCGTTGGTGGCAACGGCATCTTTTCTCCCAAGCGGCTTTGCTACCAGGAGCCCTTCTGTGCTTCCGACTTCTCCTGCCTTGCACGCTTCCGGTTCTTGGTCGCTGCAGGCCCCGACTTTCGGAAGCTAAGACACCTCGCAGGAGGCAGCTTGAATATCACGGAGCAGCATGGACGAGACCGAGGTGGGTTCATCGATCGACACTAGGATCCATCAGAAAGCGGTGCATGTCGCGGTTCTGTTGCAGATTGGCAGTGCAACTCGCCCACAGCTAGTCTTTACGAACTCTTCGGTGGAATTGTAAAGCTCCTGAACACCAGCAGCCCGAAGATTGCCAGGTTGCTGCTTCACCGGATTGGTTGAGGACTAGAAGCTGGTCCCAGAGTGTCAATCACACTGCCCAGCAGTGTCTGCAGTTTCACAAATATCGCTGAAACTGCGATGCCTGTTTGCCGAGTGTACTTCAAAGGTCAGTTTCGACGACAGAGTCCATTTTCTATCTCTAGATTGACTCTAGATGGTTTTTTGCACAGCATGTTCTGCTGATTAAGCGTCTCGTGGTCCGAGTTGGCCCAACCGAAATCGCAACAGTGCATCACTTTGTGAATAATTCAGAGCTTGCTGCAGACTCTTGGATGTGGCCTGGTTGTTTCCAGAGTGGGAAAGTGCAGCCCTCGCAGAGTTACTTCACAGATGTTGTGGTGTGGCTATGAGTTTTTGGTGGAGGCTCAGGTGTCCGCACAGAGTGGAAACCCACCCCAACATTCGAGAAACGACCCTTCTTGTTTCCAAACTCTCAAAGCCACCTCGCGAGCTTGCAGCAGCTGGGGGGCGGGGAGCACTTCAGAGATTCCAGAGACCGAGCGGATCCCCAGATCCCCGGGGTGTGTCAAGTCAGGTTTTTCGGGTGTCAGGTGTAGGAGTCCGAGCTTCCGATTCGGGCATACTGGGAGGCACCCGCAGCCCAGGAAAGCTTGGGTAACTATACTAACTATACTTCGGGAACTTAGTCAGCACTTTCGGGATCATCTCTGGATCTCCGTCAGCGAGAGTGCTCTGCAAGGGCCAAGTGGATGACTTCTTGGCTGCTTGTGGGGGCAGAAATGACGTTGGTCGTGCTGCTTTTTGTTGATGGCGCTGGTGCTGGTGCCGGCGGTTTGTGGCTCATGGGTGTGGCACACTCCTAGGCTGCTTCGTTCAATCAGAGCTTGTTCGATGTCGAGTGTAAGAAGATATCCGGAGAAGAAGCCTTCGTCGAAGGACAGAAGGTCGCTAAGAGGCTTAGCCGGCATCTGACTCCAAGAGCAATGCCCGAGTGCCCGAAAGCCGCCGCTGTCGCAGCTGTTCGGCTCAAGTCTACCGCGCTGTTCGCCTGGGGGACTGAGGAACGGCACACTTTTAAGGCTCGGCGGCGGGGCGACCGGGGTGTACGACTTGCATCTACTGCCCCGTGACGCCCGATGCGAGTTTCGGGCATGTGAGATGGATCCCTGCGATTCGTCAGCTTTTGGGGTTTGATGCATGTCCAACCACAAGGCATGACAACCGTATTTTCAGCTGCACCTAGAGGTCCTAATCATTCTTCAGGAGGCTTCTGGCTTTGGGATCCTCCCGCTTGCAGCTTTGCTCTCAGGCTCTCTCCCAGCCCCGCAAACATTATCTTATTCTGACTTGAGTTCGCTCCTTCCAGGATGTGGTGGCGCCTACCTCAGACAAGAAGGCTCCATCAGGTGCAGTTTTGCCAGGTAAGTGAGGGCAGCGATCGGGCTTGACTGTCATTCGATCCCAGAGATGCCTTGCAGTGTTCAGTGTCGCCTGTGCAAACTCGGCTGGTGCATCGCCGTCGGCTTCTCTTGGCAAAGGTATGGGCCTTCGCCATACCATGGCTACGGCCACGCACGGAGCCCAGTGCTTTGCGGCACGAGCCTGGGAAGGGCGCCGGATTTCGATGTCAGTTTGGGTCGTGGAAGCATCGATCTGTGCTTTAGACACTCGGCAGCTTGCCTTTGAGGACTGGTGGGGTCCGCCTCGATACTATCGAGACCGATACGACCGCGATCGGAAATGGGACCGGGAGCAGGACAAGGATAAAGAGGCGCGTGGGACTAGTCGGCGTGGTTTACAGGGAGCTTGCCAAAGCCACGATTCGTTAAGCTCGCGCACTGGGCAACCGTAGCTGGTTTTGCTCGTTGCGAGCCAGACTTGAAGAACCTGCCATGCTTGTTCGGCAATTCCTACTTCGTTTAGAAGCTCATCGGGTAATCCTCTGGGAAGTGAGGCCTACCGGGCAAGTCTCTGTCCCTAAGCCAGCTCAGCCTTAGCTTCGAAAGCTTGACAGGGCAAGCCGGCCGACCGGCCCCGGAGTGAGGATGGGGAGAAGGGCAAGGACGGGGACACCCGGACACCCCCTCCGCTCAGACGCAAGGGAGGGCTGGGCCTTCTGCATCCCACCTGCACTCGACATCGATTGGAAGTCACAAGAGCCATGGCTAGTGCAGCCCGAATCAGAGCATTGCCCCGATCTGACAATGCCCTCTGAACCCGAAGGTCCTCCAAATCTGATTCCTCCCGTGAGCCCCTGAGTCCCGTATCGGATGCTTCCTCGCCTGCGAGGAGGCGAACTCAGGTCCTGCGCTCGAGCTGGCAAGGACAGCTCAGCGCCTGTCTGTGGGCCTGTCATAAGAGGGGCTTCAGAACCGGAGGGCTGCAAAAAGTTTCATGCTTCAGCGCCCCTCGTAGGGGCTCTGAGTCTTGGGATCCGGCATGATTGAGAAAACCCACGTTGCGCAGTCGGGGAAGTTTGTACTGAGATGTGCGGCCAGCAGATTTGCAGGAGCATCTCACACTTCTTGTCGCACCAGCAGAAACTGGGAGCATCACATTCCGATGCCCGATGTTTCTGGCTGCAAACAGCCCTTGTGCCAAGTCTTGGAACTTCAAAGCTTGCAAACGTTAGAGGCGATCTGGTGGACTGAGAATGTCGAAAGCCCCTTGTGTTATGTGGCCGGCAGGAAGCCATATCGGCAGATCATTGACGAGCTCATCAAAAACACTGCGACTTGCTGAAGAGAGCAATCATTCGGTTCCGCCATCCTTCATGCTTTGCAGCACAAGTCGAGTCGTGGGCTCTGGAGAATTGGCTTCGTTTCAGCCTTGACATGTGCCTGGGGTTGGAGATGGGGGGTTTAGAAAGGTTTAGTTTAGTGTTTGGGCCGGCCCTGGCGAGCATGAAGATGCAGGGGGGAAGAGAAGCAGATGCACTGTGCATAGCAGGTCCTATGCCGCAACGACTTTGACCATAAGATCCTTCTCCTGTTGGATGCACTCTGGGAGCGGAACAAGCTGCAAGATGCAAGGGCCTAAAACAAAGGGGATTCCAGTGTAGACGCCAGTGTGTAGGGCTTTGGCTTAGGGTTTTTGGAGACTGGCGGCTTGTGATCAGGTGTTCTGATCCATGTGCATTCTGCATCTTGGTGTAGGTCCTGAGCCTTATTATTCGGCTTTTGCCACGAGCCTGTGCACAAATAAGCTGCAATCCACAAAGACGCCGGCTTGTGACACTCATGCTCACTTAGGCCTGCTCCCATGTCAAGAAAGTGGTGGAGGTCCTTCCACGAGATAAGGTCACACACTGGAGAGGCTCTCCGCACACCGGGAGGGAGGTGTCTCAATGAAAGCATGTTTGTATATATCTTATGCAGTGTCTAAAGCATGATGTACACATATGTACATGCACCCAGAGGCATCTATCTATATCTATATTCCCACATAAATATGTATATGAATATGTATACATGTGTACATACATACATGCACACATATGCACGCATATGCACACATATCCGCACATGCGTATGTGCACACACTCATACGCGCGCACACACGCACATATGTCTGTCTATCTATCTGTCTATCTGTCTACCTAAGTATACGCACATGCACATGCACGCGCACGTAGACATATACAGACTATGTATATATATATATATATATATATGGACACACCCCCCACCATGACCTACCTCGGCCTCTTTTCCATTGTAAATACCGTCAAAACCTTCTCTTGGCAGGGATTCGCGTTTGGCATACGATTCGTGCTTTGCGTAATTTTCGGGGATGATACCTTCTCTATCATGGCTGATGTGAAGTCATGTCTCTTTACAACGTCGTGCCTACTCATGTCCGCTTTCAAATTCATATGCCTGTATTCATAAGCAAGAAACATTAAAAGAAACCATACGATACGACGGCGGAAACCAAAAAACCAAAAATCCAAAAATCCAAAGCCTTTCTGAGGGGCCCGAAACTTTTGGATTTTTTGGTTTTCCTAGGTCTTTTTTGGTTTTTTGGGCTTTGCCTTGGCGAAACCATGGCTTTTTTTGGATTTTCGGTGGAAAACCAAAAAAACACAAGGTTTTTTTTGTTTTTCTGCTGTGTCTCTCGTGAAAAACCAAAAAACACCCGTGTTTTTTTGGATTGCTGCTGGAAAACTAAAAAAACATTGGATTTTTTTGGATTCCTGCTGGAAAACCAAAAAACATTGGATTTTTTTGGTTTTCTGTTGGAAAACCAAAAAAACCCTAGGAAAACAACAAAATCCAAAAGTTTCGACCCCCCTGACAAAGGTTTTGGATTTTTGTTTTTTTGGATTTTTGGTTCTCGGAGCCTTAGAGCCAATACAGCGCGCAGCATGCTTGATCGGAAATGGTTTCGTTGTTTACGCGCAGTAGTCTTCAGATTTGCATTAGGCATTAGTGTTAGTATTAGTATCTGCGTTCTAGCGTGTTGATTAGTGTTACTGTTAGTGTTGGTGTCAGTGTCAATGTCAATTCCAATGTCAGCGTTAGTATTAGTCTGAATATAAGTCTATACAATAGGTGTACTAATGGTAGTGTTAATGTCTAGTGTGAGTTTTAGTATTCGTATTAGTCTTGGTCTTAGTCTCTGCCTTATTCTTAGCGTTAATATTAACCAGTGTATAGTCTCATATCAGTATATTCTGTATTTGTAAGTCTATGGTAACATTGGAATAGTAGTATACGAGTATATTATTTATTGGTATGTGAAAATACAGATTCTTTGGTACATTGATGTGTCTGTTTTTTGTATTTGGTTTGAACGTGATTATTAGTATTCGTAGGAGCATTAATATTGGTATCAATAGCAGTATCGCTGTTCATACTATGCATAATCGTATTAGCTGGAGTATCAAGTGGTAATACTGCTATTCATGTTAGTGTAGGTTTTTTTAATGTGAATATAAATACTGAGAACAATTAATAAGACTATGCGCATTAATCTGCGGAGGAACTGTATCACTTATGTGCATATTAGTATTAATGTTAGCATTTGCGTGTATATTGGTAACAAATAAATACTAAAATTACTATCAATATGGGTATGTTTTTTGATATTCGTAGGAACACTAGTATTCATATTAGTATCGGTATTACTGAAAGTACCCGTCTTCGTAAAAGTATTTGTAATCATACTAATTCATATCAGTACGAGTATTAAGATGGCTTCACACAGAATAAACATGTGTGCACATGTAACCCTCATTACGATCCTAGGTAGGATGCACACATCGTTCTGTTTTGGTCCCGTCTTTGGGTTATGCCTATGAGTACATGAACAAAATTAAAAACAGACAATGACAAACACAAAGTTACCCGGCGCATCTAACGATCTTACGTAGGATGCAGACACTGTGCTGTCTTGGTCCTGTCTTCGGGTTATGCCTATGGTCATTATATGACCAGAGTTATGAATATCCGGAACGTTTAGGCAGTATCCTATTAAACAATTGCAGGCATTGAAGCTTGCCCAAATCCGCCAACGGCGATGTCGCGCCGTCGTAGGTCATTACAGTGTATTCAGCTATTGATTATACACGAGATATGTTTCCATTGTTTATGTATGAGTGTATTTTATCCTAATGGTTTCCTCAAATCCTTACATGTTCTACTACCCATTGCTAGCCGAAGCACCTCGCGGTAGGTCTTATATATAGATAAACAGATAGATAGGTATACATAGATACATGTGCATACACACACACACACACACATATATATATATATATGTATACACCACACATATGTATACACTTATACCGGGCACATGTAAGTACACCTGTACACAGGGCATCTATGCACGTATATATGCGTGTGTAGATATGCACATGCGGTCTAGGTATATACACACACACACCCATACACATACATACATACATACATACATACATGTATATATATATATATGTATAGATATATAAATATACATGTATGTATGTATGTATGTATGTATGTATGTATGTGTTTGTGTCTATGTATACATGCCTCCATGCATGTAATGTATGCATGTATCTGTGTTTGGGCATGTATGTACGTATGTATGTATGTATGTATGTATGTATGTATGTATGTATGTATGTATGTATGTATGTGTGTGTGTGTTGTATAGAGACACAGGCCAGCGCGCGTGCGAAGCTCCTTCTCGGTTCTCCTGTGGTTCGAGAGGCTACCTCCACAAGCTGCTGCGAAACTTCGACGAGGATGCGTACCACGACGTCAAGGTGCGAACCTAGAAGGTCAAGATGCTTGGACTCAATCCGGCTCGCTCCGGGCTTCATGCCTTCGGAAGGCAGGGCAGAAAATGCAAAAGTGTCGCCCTTTACTTTTGCTCTGCGCTCTGGGCCTGTTAAGGGCTTTGGGCTTCTACTTCCGGAAGTGAGGGGCGTTTTGCCAGGGCACGCTGGCAGCTGCAAACGCAGAGAAGCTGCCTTGGATCCAGGCGCAACCTTGGAGTCGTCTAAGTGGTCAGTTGTCCGACTTTCCTTCTCAAGCCAAGGGCTGTGTGGATTTCGGAAACTCCGGTTTGTTTCTGAGCAGCTATTCGGATGGATCCGACTTGCTTCTGCCAACCAGGGTGGATGTCCGCATTGAGGCTCAGCGGTTCATTCATCATAAGGGCTGAAGAGTCAAGATGTCGAGGGTCCATACCTCTTGGAATTTGTAGGGTGATGAAGCAGTCAAACCCTGGACCATGAACGCTGGGAGCCCAAAACCCCAAACCCTTAAACCCCAAACTGCAAAAGATTCTCAAACTGAGACTTAAACCTGCCCCCCAACAAAACTCAGTAGACCGCTTTGGCTTCAGCCCTCAACAGTTCTAAGCAAGCTACGGTGTCTCCTCAGGAGAAGCCTCCAGCTTCCGGAGACTCTCTCCGTGTGTGTGCAGCTGCCACTTGGGTAGGAAATGGTATGTTGGTCTTCGATTCCGTGGGGTCTCGTGGTTGTTCATCGCTGAGAACTGGAGTTAGGTGTGCTGCCTGGAGCCTGGATTCAACGATAGCTTTACATATCGATTCAACACCCGGTTTCGATTGCCACCTTGGCGTGCTCTTCTGGAAGCCGGTGTCTACAGCAGGAGGGTGTGGTCCCAGGCGAAGGCTTGTTCACAAGGAGACACCTAGAGCCGAAGCTTCTAAAGATTCCGAAGTCTGACGATCATCTAAGACCATGAGCTTCAGGTCTGCAAGCCGTCCGAGAAGCCCAAGTGGCTCCTAGAGTTCCAAACTACAAGTGAGCTTAGATCGGTGAGCCCTCGAAGCACTGATTTGTCAAGATGACACCGGTTTAACGGAGTCCTCCCAAACTGTCAAGCCCCAACTGGATGTGTTGTTCTCAATCCTGAGCCCCTGGTTCCTGAGGAATTCCAGCCGGGACAGCTGGCTTGGAGTGGAGCTATCGGGAAGAATGAGTATGTGGCAGTAGCAACACACAGGCCCCCAGCTCCGCGTTGGGTGTTCGGTGTCAGGTTAGCAGGCTCCATCTCCTGAGTCCAAGATGTTGAAAAGCCCATTGGTCTGGGGGCCGCCGTTCTCCCCCAAACATCCAGCACTTCAGGCCTCAGGCTGGGTTCACGGTTGGACTTCGTCGGGTTGGAAGGTACATGCGGGGCCATACCAAAATTACTAAAGCGCTGCCAAAGTCCACGGGCAGAGATGATCCGCGGAAGCAGCTCAACGCCTGAAGATCTGACGTGAGGATCTGACGGACGTTAGACATGCATCTACCTGACACATCAACTTTCCGGCTGTTGCCACGCAACGCTGAGCAAAGCCAGGCTTTGCGCTGACGCACCAGAGTTCGATCCCAGTCAATCTACTTGGGCGCCACGAGCCGTTGAGAAGGCCGGGAGTGATACATGTTTTGTTTTGGAGGCTTCAGCAAGACCAAGGGCTAAGACATAAGTATCCTGTGTGCTGTAACACATTGCAAAGTGGCCGGGGTGCTTCACGATGCAGGGTAGAGCCACGTCCACATTGAGCTTCAAGTGCCGCATCCAGACCTGGCCCCAATCGGCCTGAGCCCACGTGCCCACGCCCCTTTCGACTTCCAAACCCGTCGCCACAGGCCGAGGGCGCATGAGGGGCATCAAATCTTCTGATTCCGCACCGCAGAGACAGCTGATTGCAAGTCTTGACAGCGCTGACAGCCTCTTAGCCTCAAACCTGAGCCTCAAGGCTTGTAACATAACCTTTCAGTCAGACACGGCCGTTCATGCCTTCTTTTCCAGCCAAGATCCGGTTGATCAAGCCCAGCAGACATAGATCATGGAGCCAAACAAACAAAGCTACACCTCTGCAGTCTCTCATTTTGGAGACTTCTGGCCGTCACCAGTAGACTCTAGCGGAACCTAGCCGGATTGCGGCGAGTGCTGGCTGGTCAGATGTTCCAGACGGCAATCAGACCTTCGAGAGAGCTACAGGCTCCCTGTTCAGGGATTTTCTTCTCTGTGCCCTTGTGCCGCTGCCGACCATCCACAGCTGAGAACCGCCGTTTCGGCAGATGAATTCAGGTGAGTCTAGCTCGAAGCTAGTTGCGAAGCAGGTTGCCGGTTACTTGTTGTTCAAGCGATGAACCTTGTAGGCGGTGTTCGTGAATGCTGGCTGGGCCTTTCTAGTTCACACCGACAGCTGCACAATCCCACACACAGAGGCAAGCTTTTGCAGTCGCAGGGCTGAGGACCCACCGGCTCGTTTCTAGAGGTGCCTTTTTAGAAGCTTCGGCTTACGTTGCAGACTTCAACCTGCTGGGACGGTCGAGCACCTTTCGTTCGTGGACAGCTTTCCTTTTAAAGACCGGCCCACGGAGCGAACTTGTGGCTTTCGTGCTGAGTCAAACCGCGAAAATGTGCGCGATTCTGCATGGAAGTGTGTGCCCAGAACTCCTGGAAGTGAGGAGGGTGCTGGGATTCTGGGATGCACCGGAGGTTTCCTTGAGCGCTTAACCGGCACGCATCTCCCGAGAAGTTCCAGCCAGGAGCCATTCCCTCCGTTCTTGACTGCAGGCCGCAGATGGCTTGTTGCCAGTGCCGTCTGATACATCCAGCGCATGCCCTTGTTGTGTCAGGGCCATCAGGCAGTGAGGAATTGGCATCGGCGTTTGGCCTTCATGTGATGGTCTCAAGCTGGCTGTGAGGTTGTGTAAAGCTTCCCAGACAATGTTGTATGTGCAGGAATGTAAGTTGTGCTCTTGCAAAAGGGTAATCGGCGAACTCTGTCATTTGTCTTGCAGAGTCAAGCCCCACTATTTTCCACTTTCTCGAGTTTCGAGATAGCGAATCAGCTATACCTACCGACAACAAGCCCTTGGAGCAAGTAGTTGGTCAATACATCAGTTCATGTAGCACTCGGCTGGCATTCAGTGCTGCCGCGCCGCTGCTGCGATGGTCATGAAGGTGGGGGGGTTCTGCGTTTGCTTTTGCGGACGTTCATGAGCCTTCCCGAGGGACGGGCCCCAGGACGGGCGGCAGGGTGATCCTCGCTCGTGGCCGCGTCGTTGCAGCTTGCATAACTAAACGAAGTACACTAGGCCACTAGGCTTCAACAAGGAGTGCTAAGCATGCAGGGATGGTGGCTTCTGCCCTCAGCGTCTTTTGGCACCACACCGTCCAATATCAGTCCTCAGAGACTGTGTGCCTTCGCTCGTAATTTCTCATATGCAGTCGTCTTGAACATGAACGAGCACCAGAAACCTCGTGCCGTCGCTTGAAATGAAAGGTGTTGTGAGATAATTTCTCAAACTCCAGAATCGTGTGCAGTGTGTGCTGCCTTACTTCTACGCCACACGTTCCAGCCAATGGATGCCACTTCAAATCTTCATTCGTTGGCTGGCACCTTGTCAGATGCCGACCTCACGGCGAAAAGAGTCAGCGGCTGGCACCTGAGAAGCGGTGTTTGGCTGTTTGATCCCGGCATCGCCACAGCTGTTGCGCCGAATAGCTACAGTGGATTGCTTCTTGGATTTCTTGTTGGGGATGATGCAGGTCATCGTTTTGGATCGCGGTGCCTTTGGCATACTGGGGAGAGCTTAGATAGTGCAGTCTTATCGTTATTAAACATGAAGATGTACCGGCGCTTGGATCACGGGAGTGATTGGTGGGCGAAAGGACAGGCCCCTTCAAAGTTTCGGTGGTCGCCATGCTCCCAGGGCACTCGCACATCCATCCATTCGCTCGTTGAATACGGCACTGGTGTATTTACGAAGCGCCATGTTGCAATTCGCACTTCGATGCCTCCCCGAAACACTCCGAAACTGGACCACGAGACCTAATTGACTGCGGGCTATGCGATTCATTTACCTGCCGAAACCTGAATAGTGCAGTGCTGCGCTACTGCCAAGGCCTCGTCGTCCTCTTCGACGTTGACGCGCCGTTGGAGCAATCCGACCGCATGTGCGACTACATTTTCAGATGGATTCGGTCACAGATCAGGCTAGGCTATTGTGCGAACTCTTGCGTTCCGAGCAGGATCGAACAGGCACATCACTCACGAAGCAGGAATGGAATCATCTTCTTGCCCTGAAGCCTCAACTCTGGACCCTCGACCCTCAACCCTCAACCCCAAGCCCCACGCATCCAAACCCTCAGCCTTAGATTCTGAATCCGTAGCTTGAACCCTAAGCTTCAAACTCTTAAATCCCCAACACTGAAGTGCCCCAACCACCAACCCCGAAAGCCCGAAAGCTGCGAGAGCTCGAGGCAAAGGCCGCAATGACTGCGGTCAGGTCGATGCCGGCGTCCAGCGCTTGGAGACATACTATGAACACAAAACGCATTTGGACATGAGTCTCGCAATGCCCTATATTGTATCATTGCACTATAGCATATACATATATAGACATATATATATATATACATATATATATATATATAGATTTATCTATAGATGTGTGTGTGTGTGTGTGCTAACCCCCAATGCCCACGCCCGAGCTGATCGGGCATTACATCACAGTAAGTTCTACTATCTTGCTTGCTTCAGGTTCGTGTCAATATGCGAAGTTTCCCCTACATCCACAAGACTGCTGCGCTGATTTGCAGGCCTTCTGCAGTTATCAAAACACACGCAAAGTGCAAACTTCAGACAGTTCACAATTCCTCAGAAAGTTCGCTCGTATGTTTAGTGTTGCAATACCATGTGTACCAGGTTCTGACATTTTGAATGGGTAACTATGAACAGCATTCGCCCAATGTTTAGGCACTGTGTTTACCTAGTAGATTGATGATGTGTAAACAGAATTCCTCAAATCTCAGATTCAACCAAGACGTGCTCAACTGCAACAGCTATGGCGACCTATGCTCTCTCACCGCGCGCATAGTTTTTTGACCCGATATTCCTGACGTACGACTTATAAGCTTTCGTGCATTCCTTGTGTAAAAGATGAATATTGGTAAGAAATCACTGCAGTAATGATACCTAAGCAGAGAATCATACGAAACGCGGTAGCTAAGCCTTAGCCTAATTTTCGAGGCTACGGTTGGTTTGACAAGGAGACAACAAACCCAACGAAAAGCAACGACATATTCAATGATGATGCAGCATAGCAGTATTACGCTTGTGAATCGTGAAAGCTTTTTGCATCCAAATGCTACTGCCCAGCGCAGCTTCAAGCTTGCCGTGCCCAAGCATCAGGTAGGACTTCGAAGGATGCTGCAACCGAAAGCTTCAGAAGCCCTGCCGGCACATTGGGTACAACATCACAGAGATGAGTTAACTTGAACTAGATATTCAGTGAACGCTGGCGAAGTATTGCCAGATTGAATCTCACCACTTGGGCATTGCATACTAGTTGCCGTAATATTCATTTGTAACTGAATGTAAGTATTGAACAATATGCCAACATTAGCCAGGTTCTAAGTGTGACGGCATAAAGCATCTCATTGTTCTGTCGACAGTGCAAACACTCAGCGGCAAACAGCTTAAAATCGGCGGTTCGATTCTCAGTTAATTGCATATTAGGGTATTGTGATTCCACATGCCGGAGTGCGAAGCAGAAACAAGAATAAGAAGACTTTTCTTCGAGCTGGAGAACCACTTAATTTGGCAGCGCCGTTCATAAGTTCATATCATGCAAAACAAAATGGTGAACGAAGCATTCACTGGTATTTGCACTTTTGTGGCTTCCAATGTGTACAAACATGTGGCAGACGTGCTCATCGCAGCGGTCTGAAAGGGGAATACCGGCGAGGATACAGATGGTGATGACGGTCTTGTGAGGTAGCTAATGATAATGATGCGCATTATGTTAACCGTCTTGGTGAGAAACACGGCATTTCATTCATGAATCAAGCTGTGCGTGCGACCAACACTTTGACTATGTGACAGGAAGGGATAGGCGAATCAATGCCTCTACTTTGGAACATGATCAGACAATCAAGAATTGCATACGCAAGGGGGTGGGGGGAAAGGGGGGGGGGGGGTAGCATATGT